TTGGTAAATGTGTTATCTATTAATCATAATCGAATTGATATTTAAATCGAAAGTCGGTGGAAAAATGTATACTTAGTAAGTAATCCTCTGGTTTTTGCGGGTAGCTTTGGGAACGTTCTTTCAACAGCCAGCGCTCTGTAGCTACTGAAATATCTTTGGCCTCTATTGCACAGCAACTTACCTTAAAATCCTTTCTAGGTATAATCCTCCAATCCATAACACAGTTTAGAATCTTGGTTAACAGTTCATGAGGTAGTATATTTACTCATTTAAGTGCCTTTTTTGGTAAGAAACAGTGGTGTCTAACCCCCCCCTCCCCTCAAACCAATGACCGAAGGCCACCTGAACATGAAGCGTGTGGTAATGGAGGGAAGTTTATGATTGCGGCATCTGAAGAGAAGAATGGTCAAATATTTAAGTATATAAAAAGGGAATGGCAAAAGCAGCTTACGTAGCCCCACTCATACACCCCTAGTCCCAGCATTGTGTCCTGCAAAAACGTTGGTTCTAGAGTTTTGTGGGGTGGGGAAATAGAATAGATAGAGAAGAAAACTTTTAGAAGTAAGTGTAAAGTGAAAAAATGTAGTCGAATATACTTCCCGCGGCCGCTGGGAGCAGATTTTTCCAAATGCAAATTGAAGGTGTGAGCGGCTCTTCGCGCCGCGGACTATACTAATCGAAATCCAGAACGGTAAGTTGAATAGACGACCTCCTAAGAACCATTTCAATTTTTCGGGAAATTAAAGAAACCTGCAATTTAATAATCGGGTTTTTCCGCAATAAGTTAAACGATAATACAGATAAGAAAATCGACAGATCAACAACACTTCTAAATACAGTAAAATAAAAATGCATTTATTAAAGTATGCTCCACTGCGTGTCCTAATTTCCCGCCCAAAAAACCCGATTTACACCGTTTTCGTAGGAAAACATGCAGGTTGTAGGGATTAATGCGTAAGGCTACATAGGCTACTGTTGTCAATGGAATACTTGTGTGCATCTTGTGGGGAGCAGGAAACGGCTGTGCTGGGGACAAATACGATTCTTTTTTAATATAATTTAAAACACCTTAAAAGTCCATATTAACACCTTTCCCGCATTAAAAGTGGCCATTTATCACAGTTCAGGGGTTGCATGCTCATTTTTAACTGTTTATTTAACCTAGCCTGAGCATACGACACTGGTTTCGGTACTTTGTTACGAAATAAGAGGTCGGACTTTATTCAGTACAAGCAATTAGTAACACAGAGGCAGATGGCATTTTATACAAAGACAAGAGGGACTGGAGTGGCCATTTTTGGCTTCATGGCGGTCACTGAACGTTCATCAACGAATATCAAGTCTCCCAACCTAAACTGGCAGGACAGCGAGCTCGTGATTTAATGGTTAGGGGGTTAGCTCCTGATCGAAAAGGTCACGATTTCGAGCTTCGGGTGGTGCATCAATTAAGCGAGGCATGATTGGCTGACGACCGCTAATAAACCAGAAAAGGGCCGTTCCAGTCTCCCTTGTATTTGCCGACAATTATATTTGCCTAAGACTACTAGCCTCTGCGGCTGTTTTCAAGGCCGGAGAGATGAGGGCCGAGGCAGAGCGAGATGGGTGAGTTCAATTAGCGGTCAAGGAACGTTCATCAATGAATTTCAATTAGTAACACAGTTTAGACAGTGATAGTCTCGCTTTTGTCCACCACTCGAATATGTTTTTTAGGCTAGTAAATCTCATCTAATACTTGATCTAGGACTAAGGTAAGGATGTGAGATCTAACGTTGGCTGTCAGGCTACTGCAAATTTTGGATTATTGTAACTCCAATCACCGTTTTAACCATCCATATCTACCATTGTAGAAAGCTGTCAATGCAATTATTGCCCTACAAAGGATGGGTGTTGTCCTCACGCACAACAATGAGAAAACCAACATACGCAAATACCTGCAGGTGGCGCCGTCGAAAACCACTAAACTCACGCGGCGTGGGTCCATACAGCCCCCTCCGAAAGAAAACCCGCCCGCCAAGGTTGATGTCAAACGTAACATGTCCTTTCAAAGCAGTTCCCCACCGCCCCTACGAAATCCAGGCCGCACAACGCCCACCGTCGAAGCTAAATCATCCGCGGATGCTGGAAAACCTGCCAGTCCCGTGGGAAGAAGCCAGAAGGAGAACGCAAAAGTCCCTGTAAAACAAAATGCTGTGCCCCTCAGCGTAACAAAGACGACAAATGAAGTGAAACCATCCCCTGCTGCCGCTGCTACTGCGGCTATCCCAAAGCCTCCGGTAATTGTTGAGCCATCCAAGCAGGAAGCGAAGGCAAGTCTGCGCAACACTATCCAAGAGCCGAATAAGACTCCTGAGCAGAACAAGGCGACTTCTCAGCCGTCTCGCAACAGTGATAAACAACCAATGAAGGTGCAAGAACCGGACAAGACGAAGCCTTCGGTACTAGGCAGCACTGCGAAAGAACCGACGAGGCTGCAGGAACAGGAGAAGAAGGTAGCTCAGCCGCCGCGTAGTACTGTTCAGGCGACAAATAAAAGTCCCGAAGGTGGCTTGCGTGCGTCCATCCTCCCGAAGGAGCAGAAGTTGAACAGTGATAAACAGCCAATCAAAATCCAAGAACCAGAAATAGGGAAGCCTTTGGTGCCAGGCAGCGCTGCAAAAGAACTGACGAGGCTACAAGAACAAGAGAAGGCTACAAAAGCTTCCGAAGGGGGCCCACGGGCGCCTATTCCCCCGAAGGAGAACAAGTTAAACAGCACAGCCCCAGCTCCAGCAGCACCTAAACCAACTTCCCCGCAACCGCAGAATTGGCTGATCACTAAGCAGAGCCTACCGCCACCTACTGCATCTACCACGGCCTCCAGCAGTCGTAGAACCTCTACTACATCTACTGCCTCCACAGCCTCCAGCGCTCGGGCTGCCGCACAGAATTTGGTGGCTGTGAAGATGGCCAGCCTGTCCAAGAACACGACCACCCTAGCCAGTCGCATTCAAGCGTTTTCTGCGGCAGCAGAGGCAGCCGAGAATAAGACGCGCAGAAAAAAGTTCTCCCTCTACCAGTAAGGGAGTCCTAGCTCACCGTCTCGCACAATGCCGGCGACTTTAAATGCATCTTGCCTACTCCAGCACACCCGATGAAAACATGACCCACACACATACCCAGCTCCTGAGATGCTCTCTGTGATAATATCGTCGCCCACTGCGGCATGTTGCTCTATCTTCCTGCTTTACTTACACGTCAAGTTAAACCACGAATACGCCAGTTCCGATGCCCCTTTCCCCTTTCCTGTCTTTTTTCCCTTTCCAGTCTCCTTCATTCTCTACATCGGCTTTACCTAACTAAACCTGCTTCCTTTTATTCATTCCATTCACCACTAGGGTCTGGATGGTTGATTGATTACCACGAATGCAGTGGTCTGTTCCATGCTCTGTAAATAAAGAAGGTTCGGTAACAGCAGCAGGCTCCCTGCCGGTCTTTTTAACTTCGATTTAAAGTGCGAAAGAATTGGCGAAATAGGGAGGGGG